TGGTGGTAGTGGTATACGGTAGTATGTGTGTGTGTGTGTGTGTGTGTGTGTGTGTTTAGAAGGAGAAGGAGAGCAAATCCACGGTCACCACAAAGGATTCACCTTTGTGATCTCGTACCCTTCTCAATAATTCTATGAGGCTTATTATCACCATTTCAAATGTGGAAACCAAAATTCAGATGAATGAAGGTGTCTGTGTATCATCACAAAGCTAGTCCATGGCAGACTCAGCCTGTTTCGTGAACGTGAACTAAGGTGCTTCTCAAGCCTTCTCTGTGCTCTGTGCCTGCCTCTGTGGTGGCTTTCTGGCATGCCTCCCCTCTACCGTCACTCATCCCACTCCTAACTTCTTCCTCCCCAGTGACCACCACACCAGGGGACACATGATAGGATCCCAGAGTGAGCTCCTGTGTCTAGACAGCACCCTTTGGTCACATTCCTCCGGATTGACACATTCCATCATACGTCATTTGAGCCTTTGGGTACCTTTGGGTGGCATTATCGGTTTTTACCCATACCCCCTTTATTTTCTCTAGGTAAAATAACAATCCAAAATAGCAAAGAAAAGCCAATAGCTAAAGGAGCTGTTAGGACTTTCAAATGCTGTTTTTCAAGATGTTCCAAAAATCCTTCAGCGTGGCCAAGCATAAATAACCATGGTGAGGATTGTCCTTGAGAGGCCGTTCCCCCTGGAGGAGTGTTATCATCCCCAAACAAAAACAAATGGCCAGTGGAGATTTTCTTTGGAGGACTCTGTCCACCCCTACGCTGTGTCTTTCATGAAGCAATATGCATAAACGGTTCTTTTGTCAAGGTTAATTCGTTTTTATGCTTGCAAAGGAGCACTAGAGATGGAAGGCTCTGTTTTCCTTATTATGGCTCAACCGCAGCTTTGAAATGTGTGCGTAATGGGCCACTGACAGGTGCTCTCAAGAACCTCAGCCTAGATTGACAGAAGGCTATTTCTTCTCAAGGCTTAAGTACTTGGAGCAAAGAGGGAAAAAAATGGCCTTGTTTCCCCTTGCAGACTTCCGTTTTATTTGCTTCTTTTTATGATGTCATTAGAAACTGTCCAAGTTTCAGGAGGAGTAATCATTCTTTGGATTTGCCAATATTCTGCTGCCTAAAGTTGGGTGGAAGCTAGCTCTGTGCCAGAACGGTATTGCTTATAACTGCTGAGTCTTCTTCCAAAGTGTGCAGACTGGGGATATTCTCCAGAGAGTCCCCAGGAGGGGTGAGGGGAGGGACTGCACTCCATACAGTCTCTAAAAACTTATTAGCATGAAAAAAAAAAAACAGTTTACAAATACTAGTTGTTGTTGTTGTTGTTTTCCCTTCATCCTCCTGGCAACCACAAAACTAGAAACTGGTGATAAAAATCACAGAGATCATTTACCCAGTTTCCCCCAAAATCCCCCCCAAATAGCTCTCTAAGATTTGAGCTCCAATATGAGAATAAAAGAGGTGCATCAATCTATACTTCAGCCTCTTGGGATGCAATCTTTACTGTGTGGCCGTCTTTAACCTAGCCTAAGGACCGTCTCAGACCACGAGTCAACCTACTTTGTCCTTCTTTGCAGAAGCTCCAGGAAGACAGTTCATACCTTCTTCCCAGGATAGCCCCAAAGCTAACACTTCCCCTGGCAAGTCCCCATGTTTTCTTGGCCTTCGTCAAAAAGGATACCCAAGTTGGAAGGCTAACAACTGCCCCCCGAACAAGTTTAAGAATGAAAAAAACAAAAATCAAACCTGCTAAGCAGATGTCTTAGAGAAATAAGACTCTGGGAATCGAATGCCAATGGCCCTGACATTGAATCCTCACCAGCTGCTTCATGAAACCTATTGTTTCATTTCAGAAGTGTTCATCCAGATTCTCCTCTCACATTCGCCCACAGTGTGTTCAGAAAGCACCACACTGGGCTGAGCCCATCTCTAAAGCAAGAAGTGAGTATGAGCAGAGGTTCCAGAAGGAAGCCATCCTCTGAACCACGAATTTCAGACCCCATACTCATTTACATGGAAAAGCAGAATCTCATCTCAGGGTTCTTCCAGAACTTGACTCATTATCTCTCATCTCATAGTTTTACCCACATTGATATTTACCTACCTTGAGGTACCTATATTTACCTACATTGAGTTTTACCTACATTGATATTTAATATGGACATTTCGACAAGCCACTGATCCATCCACACAACTCATGTACTGAATGTTTATGACGCGTCAAACTGCGTGTTAGATACCAAGAATTTAGCATAAGTATCTAGGTAGTTACAGTCCTGATTCACGGAGCAACAGGAAAGATAGGTCTTAAATATTAAATATCACAATCGGTCTATTAATTACAGTAGGTGTTTTATTCTACTCAGGCTACTAAAACAGAATACTATAGATGGGTAATAAATAACAGAAATTTGCTCCTCACGGCTCTGGTGGTTGGAAACACCGAGATCAAGTCACCAGCACACTCAGTGCCTAATGAGGGCCCACTACGTGGCTTACAGACAGCCTTATTTACACTTTATCCTCACATGGTAGAAAGAGGAAACCAACTCTCTGGGGCTCTCTTAAGGGCTCTAATTCCATTCATAAGGGTTGTGTCCATTCATCAGACCTCATCACCAACCATAGCATAGACCTTATCTCCAGATGTCTTCCTGTGGGGATTAGTGAATTTGGGAGGAACATAAACCTTCAGTTCATTTCAAAAACCATTGCCACAAAGATGAGCTAGAATCACAAGCAAGCACAACTGGGGGACCCAACACAGAAAGTGCCATGTTGAAATTGCAATATGGAAGATGGGAGTGACCTTGGGAGGAAGAGGTCAAGAGAAAGAACCCTTAGGACAGGACAGCCTCCAGTTCTGCAGAAGACTGGCACAGGACAAAGGCACCTTCAGACTCTATGTAGAGGCACCAACGTGGGCATTTGAGCAAAGGCTCTACAGTGACAAGAAACACTCTTGCAGCTCACTAAGGGTTAGGGGAAGTGTCGATGGAAAAATGAAGGATTCCTAAGGAACTGAAATGCAAGAGAAATAACTAGGCTCTGCAAAATGAGAAAACCACTACCAGCTGAAGCTCCTCCCCATGACTCTAGACAACCTCTTCTCTCACTCCTTTCCTCTCCCTCCTTTTCTTCTTCCCTGTGTCCCAACCTCTCCTTCCTTCTCCATCTATATGCTACCTCTTTCTCTCTTGCTTGTCAAGTGTCTTATTCAGCTTTGGACTGGTCTAATATGGCAGCCAACCTTAATTTGACATGATTCTACAGTTTTCAATTTCACCAGCCAACTTTAATCTTAGTATTTCTTAGTTTGATTGCTTAAGAGAGTTACTCATCTGATGGACTATTAGCTATATAATGAAGTCCCCTCCCCAGCCATTAGGATGGAAGATGGAACCCTTGCCTAAGCCAATCAGCCCAGGGTCGTTTTTATTTGTTCTTTTTACTTATACATGACCATAGGGTATATTCTGACATATTTATACAAACATGGAGTACAACTTATTCTAAAAAGGATCCAAGTCTTGTTGTTGGACATGATATGGGGATTCACTGTGGTGCATTCCTATATGTACGGGACAGTGTAATAGTACCCACAGAAATGGCTTCAGAGTATGTGCATAAGTCAGACACCGGGTAGAATTCTGGGATAAAAGATTCTCCATCTTTTGTGGATGTTACAAGGATAAATAATCAGTTTTCCTGTAGGTTCTGAGATGGGATGTAGTAAATTCCAGATCATAAGCAACATTTTTTGTGACATTAGCCCATTTTGTCCCTGCATCTCAGGCAGAACATGTATAAAAACTTAAATTTAGTATAGAATACATAATCATGTAATAATAAGAATATAATTATATAATCATATTAATATCCCAGATAAGCTTGGGATTATTATTTCCAACTGATTTTAAAGCACCTGTGTCGATTTTCTTGAAATATTCACAGCCTTGTAAACGTGGGACTTAATGGGTTAAGGGGAATAAGATTGAACATGAAGCCATCCCAGAGAAGCCAAAACCAAGATTATGAAGGTGGCATTATCTGAGCTTTGCCTGAAGCTGGGTCTTACCCAGGACATTCCCAAGCCAATCAATTCCTTTTCTTGTTAAAGCCAGTTCCTGTTGTATTTTGCTCTCCCTTGCAAAAAATAAAAATGAAAAGTCAACTGATTTGGCTTGCTCCTTACATCACTATTTGTGGACTGGGAATTGGAGGGCAATTCCATATTCCAAGTGAGAAATGGTTCTTTGATTAGTGATTGATCCAAATGATATTTAAGGTACCCGGACAACTTAGAGTTACGGGCAAACAAATGGTTAGGCTGGGGTACGTTGCCTTTGGAACTGAAGTCATAAGTATGGAAGGAAAAAATACAGGTCTGTTTTGATACTGAATTACACTCTCTTCCTTTCTAAAGAATTTTAATCACATTTTCACCACTTCATTAATTTTTTCTATTTTTCTTGAAAACTATATGTATTCTTCTTAGAAATAGCCACAGGCTGTGTTTGAAACATCTCAAATGAATTCATTTTGAATTATTCATGTGAGAAAATCTCTATAGATCCCAGAAATAGGGTGTCTTTCTGTTTCTATAACTTAAAAACAACTTGACTATGTTTTGCTAAAAAGAAAACCATTTGAACGGAAAAAAAAAAATCACCCCATTTTGCTTTCCACAAATCAAATTTGCTGGAGAAAAAAAATTAGAACTTTAATAAAACATTCAACTCTTTCTTACCAGATGTGGATATGTATGTTCTTTTTTTAACTTGTTAGAGACCACAAGCAACCGGAAGACAGACTGCTTGGCTGCTTGCTGTCTATGCATTAAGGCTGAACATATTCTAGCAGAATACCAGGATATTTGGGGAAATTCCATTAAGGGTAGATGCATCCTAACTCCGGGCCATGATACAAAATCTTTCTATATAATTCTGATTTCTGTTTACTCCTTTGTTCACATTTTGCTTTTTTTTTTTTTCAAGGAACGCAAATTTCCCAAGTTTGTTTCCAAAGAAATGGAGAACATGTACATCGAGGAGCTGAAGTCCTCCGTCAACCTGCTCATGGCCAACCTGGAGAGCATGCCCGTGTCCAAAGGCGGGGAGTTCAAGCTTCAGAAACTCAAACGGAGCCATAACGCCTCCATCATTGACATGGGCGAGGAAAGCGAGAACCAACTGTCCAAGTCCGATGTCGTGCTATCTTTCTCCTTGGAGGTAAAAAGCCTTAAACCCTTGAAAGCTTCCTTGCAGCACAGGCCAGAGCTGAGTGATTAGATATAGCACAATCAGCCTCTTTTCCCCCCTTGCACCCTGGGAGCAGTTATTAAAATAATAGCTTGCTGAGCACAGGTCAGCTAATCAGCCAGTGCTTCTACCCTCTCCAGGAGCACACATTTTTTTTTTCTTGAGGAAATGGAATCTTAAGAACCACCTACTAAATGCAATCTCCCCTATCTCCAAACAGTGCTGAAGGATTTCATAAAGACTTGATGCACTTCAATTTAGAAGGCTTAAAATTTGGGTTCCTTCTAGCATCAGGTCACGGTGAACTGTAAATTTTCTTTCCCACCTTCTTAACGACTAGAAGGGACCCCAGCAAGCACTTAGCTTTGCACAGGGGAAAAGTAATCTGTGATGCCAAGTGGCGTGCCCAGCATTAGACAAGGGGAACATTTTGGTCAAAAGCAACCGATAAGTGTAGAATGCTGATAAGGACCAGACGTTTCACCTTCAATAACTGCATGTAGCATCACAGTGGTCCTTGGAGGTATTTGCAGATGTGGAAACAAAGTCTGAGAGAGGTTAATACACCTGAAAATGATTGCCCAGCTAATAAAGACACAGAATCAAGATTTGAAACGAGATCTATTAAAGTCCCCCAAATTGTGCTCTTTCCAAGGTGCCTTCCATTTCTTTCCATGCATGTAATTCTTCCCTGGATAAAAATATTCAATTGTACCCATTAGCACTTTGGATCCTTACTCAACAGGCACAAGATACATATCATTATCTCTCTCTCTCTCTCTCTCTCTCTCTCTCTCTCTCTCACACACACACACACACACACACACACTTTGCAGATAAGAAAGCTCAGACTCTTCTAATCTGAAATTAAAACAAGGCAGGTTCGATGTCAAGGTGTTTCCCAACATCACATGAGTAATACAATTGTTCTCCTGGGTCAGCAGCAGCAGGATCACCAAGAAAATTTTGAAAACGCAAAGTCCCAGGCTGCATACCACCTACTGATCAGAAATTCTGAGTGTGGAACCCAGAAATCTCTAGATTTTTTGTTGTTGTTGTTGATGTTGTTATTCTTTTTATTGTTTTAATTAATGTTTTTATTCTTTGTGTTGTTGTAGTTGTTGTTATTTTTAGATATGCATGGTGGTGGAGTGTATTTTGACACATTATACATACATGGAGTGTAACTTATTCTAATTAGGATCTCATTCTTGTGGTTGGACATGATGTGGAGTTTCACTGGTCGTGTGTTCATATATGAGCATAGCAAAGTTCTGTCCTATTCATTCTACTTTGTTTCCCATTCCCATTCCCCTGCCCCTCCCTTCATTCCTCTTTGTATAATCCAATGAACTTCTAGTTTTCCCTCCCCTCCTTATTGTGTGTTAGCATCTGTATATCAGAGAGAACATTGGTTTGGGGGGATTGGTTTATTTCACTTAACTTGCTATAATTCCATTCCTCTTTACGGCTGAGTAATATTCCATTGTGTATATGTACCACATATTCTTTATCCATTCATCTGTTGAAGAGCACCTAGGTTGTTTCCATAGTTTGCCTGCTGTGAATTGAGCTGCTATAAACATTGATGTCACTGTAGTATGCTGTTATTCTGTTTAGTTATACATGACAGAAGAATCTATTTTGACATATTTACACAAACATGTATTATATCTTATTCTAATTAGGATCCCGTTCTTGTGGTTGGACATGATGTGGAGTTTCCCTGGTCGTGTGTTCATATATGAACACAGGAAAGTTCTGTCCCATTCACTCCACTGTCTTTCCTGTTCCCATGCCCCCTCCCTTCCCTTCCTTCCCCTTTGTATGATCCAGTGAACTTCCAGTCTTCCCTCTCCCACTTATTGTGGGGTAGCATCTGCCTATCAGAGAGAAGTCTCTGGTTTTACAAGCCTGACCAACAATTCTGATTCATACTGAGTCTGAGAACTGTGTACTATGGCAAATGCGACAGCCCTGTTATTCTTCCCTGAATGAAGCCAGTGGGAAAGTTCATATTTTTCCTATCCACTTAGTTCTCCTTTTGTAATGGGGTTTCTTCTTCCAGAGTCCAGCCAAATGATTTTCACACACATTACTCATGATAGCTGGCTGATGGAGGTGATTTGGTTCTGATTCTTAAATTCCTCCCCCTCTCCCTTCTCCTTTCTCCCCTCTTCCATCTCCTCTCTCATGACAGAGCAGACCCCAAATCACTAAATATTAGAAATAGCAGGTAATCGGATGCAGCTTAGGGTGGTGGTGGGAAATATGAGAAATAGCCAATGATGCCTCTTGGTCCCTGACCACACCAGTGTTTTCCCTCAGTCTTGCCCAGAGACTGTGCAGCCCCAGATCTGTTTTTGTTCTGACTCAACAACACTGGCCTGCACAGAGTTCTCCTATTGTATTCCTCTTCATTTGGACGATCACTGACATTTCAAAATTAAATTTCTGACTGCAATGCTGATTCACATTTTCACTTTCTGGTAGGAAAACTGGAGTATCTGGTGACTGGGAAGGGAAACTGGCAGCTGCTCCCTTGAGACGGAGCCTGCGTTCTCCAGCTTGCCACAGTCCCCACTGCTCCCTATCGCATCTCTGACTGTAACGTCGACTGGTCCTAGCCTTTCTCATACTTTATTTGTGCTATCGCTTACCTTATTGTAAGGAGAAAAGTGAATTCATTACTTGTGTATCTGCCAAGAGGTGAATCACAGGCTAGAGTATTTTTTAAGAAAATAGGAGAGAATCTATTTCTTGGTGGAAATGGCAGTGGGGGCCAGGGAGTGAGGAAATGACTCTATTTGCTCAATATGGAAAAAGTGGTCTGATTAACTCACACAGCCTGCCTGGCCCTGAGAGTATCTGGGTCAGGAAGCTTGTCTTTCCGGTTGGGAGACCACTGGCTGTGCCATGAGGAACCCCAGCTTCCTTCCTGACTGGTCCAGCACCACAGGTGGACACCAGACACTGTTTCCCCCTGAGATGCCATCTGGGGACATTGACCCTAACCTCCCCCCGCCCGTGTGGTTCTGTCTCCAGGTGGTGATCATGGAAGTCCAAGGCCTTAAGTCCTTGGCTCCGAACCGCATCGTGTACTGCACCATGGAGGTGGAAGGAGGGGAGAAGCTGCAGACGGACCAGGCCGAGGCTTCTAAACCAACGTGAGTAGGGGTTCTCTGTGATCCATCTGGAGAGGGCTGGAGCCATCGGTTCTGTCTTGCCAGGTACAAGATCAAAGTCGGGTTTCCCCCAGGAGGACATAGCAGGCACTCACCTGGTCCATTTATCCAACAAGATGACTTGACTACTTGTTTTATTTGGCAGCCACAATAAAGGTTCCAGTCCCTTCTAAACTGAGAACACAAGGGAATGGAAGAAACGGCCTCTGTTCCAGGATCTTTACGTATTCTTAGATTGCTTAGCTTCACCGTGTGTGCAGGAGAGCTTGACATAAATTGGTTTTTTTATCTTTTCTTTTTGGGGGGGAAAGAGGTACTGGGGATTGAACTCAGGGGCACTTTATCACTGAGCCCCATCCCCAGCCCTATTTTGTGTTTTATTTAGAGATATGGTCTCACTGAGTTGCACAGGGCCTCACTTTTGTGGAGGTGGCTTTGAACTCGCTATCCTCCTGCCTCATCTTCCCGAGCACTGGGATGACAGGCGTGGGCCACCGCACCCAGCTGGTTTTGTTATTTTTTCTAACTACTATTTGGTTTACAGCATAATTTTTTTTCAAGATCTTTATGGGTCCCGAAGTACATTAGCCAGACAGCGTGTTATAGGGGACACGGGACATTAATTCATTAGGTCAACACAGTTTCCTGCCATGTGCACTGTGTTTAGGTGGCATGGAGGAGGGGGAAGGAGAAGGTCCCTGTTGTAGCCATGCAGTGCTCACAGGTTTGGGTGGCATCAGAAAAACAGAGAACTGTAAAGGCAGCAGCCCTCTATGGCTCCATGGGTTCCATGCCCATCAGTTCAACTAACTGGAGTGCAGATGTTTGAGGAAAAAAAATAAAAGGTCTGAACTGAACCAGCACAGACCTGTTTTTCTTTTTCGTAAACCCTAAACTACACAGGATAACGACTATTTCCATGGCACTTACATTGTACTAGGTATTGTAAGTGATCTAGAGATAATTTAAAGTACCCAGGCAGATGTGCATAGGCTATTGCAAAAACCATGCCATATTTGTAAGGGACTGGAGGACCCATGGATTTTGATATCTACAGGGAGAAAAGGAGGAATCTGGAAAGGAACCCATCCCTCTAGGATATGAAGGGTCAACTAAATTATCAATGCTGAGAAAAAAAAAAGTCCTTCAAGATAGCAGGGACACTTGAACCAGTTTGTGGGGACACAGTTAGGCCTTCCTTAGGATACCTGAAATGTTTAATATAAATTATGAAAGTCAAGGAATGGAGGTGGAGTGGAGAGCAACCCAGGTGGTGTGAACAGCTTGTGCCAAGGTCCTGTGGTCACCTAAGGCCTGTGGCAAGGAGGAATTCAAAAAATGCCAGCGGTGCTGGAGTTTGGAGAGGAATAATTCCCTAAGCCACCAGAGAGCAGGCAGTGGCCATCCCAGAGGGTCACATAAGCCCACAGAGGGGAAAGCCCAGGGATACATGATGGGATATGTGTTTTGGAAGGATCTCTTTGGCTGTAGAGGAAGGGGCCCGAGGTGACGCAGGAAATCACTCAGGATCCTGGGGCCATGGTCAGCAGGAAGGGTGATGATTAATTCACTCGGGTCAATAGAATCTCAAGCCTCAAGGATTCGTGAGAGATCACTGCTGTGTTCCCTCCCCACTCCCTGCCTGGGTCCCTTCCTTTCCTACCTCTGTGAAGCCAGCCTAGACTAAGGAGCACCTTTTGTTTGTGGTGGGGGTGGTGGTGGTGTGAACTCATCAGAGAGTCCTCAAAAGAGTCCCCTCCACCAGCGGCTCACTGCCTGGCCTCCCCCAGAGCATCCTGAGCTGTTTGGCGGAACAGATATCACTCACCAGGATGTTCAGACAAAATAGTTCAAAGAAAACCCTGAGGGTTTCCCAGGCTGCCGGAGAACCAGGGCCTCGCGTGCCATCAAGGGGTTCTCCGCGTCAATAGGCAAAGCCTGGGGTGCTCAGAAGCTGGGTGCAGTGAATGAGAGCGTGGGGACCCTGTCTTCAACATGGGTCCACGCTGACAGCGAGGGCCACCTCTTTTTCTCTACCATGGGTGAAATCCCAGTGTCCCCTCCAGTGCGTGCTCATGATCAACGCGGTGATGTTAAGATGACCACTTATAGGTGCTTTTGGGGGAAAAACATATTTAGTGTTTCTGACAACCTTTGGAGAGGCTGGGCCCAACATGGTGTCAGATAAAGGAGGAAAGAGAAAACCTGTAATGCGCCTAACAGGCTGCGGCGTCCTGGGGACTATTTCAACTCAGTGGCGATTCATGTCATTTTATTGGGTGTCACAGCCTCAGCTGGGAAAGGAAAGGATGAGTTGATTTTTCCTGTGTTTACGAGCATTTAAAACAGTTTCATAAACATATGGAGACAGCTGGGTGTCCCCACGCAAAACGCTCATAGCTCACACCCCTCTTTATATCTGACCCTACGTGAATGTTATCACGTCCACACCCATCAGCTTCTCCCACTGCAGCAGTCATGCACTTTGTCTTAAAGATTCCTCTTTCATCGTTGAGAATTATTCAGAACCCACAGAGGGTTTGTTGATTACTTTTTTGGTTTTCATTTTGTTTGTTTTTAGTACCAGGGATTGAACCCAGGGGCACTTAACCACTGAGCCACATCCCCAAACCTTTTTTTAAAATATTTTATTGATCGACAGGGTCTTACTAAGTTGCCTAGGGCCTTGCTAAGTTGCTGAGGCTGGCTTTGAACTTGCAATCCTCCTGCCTCAGCCTCCCGAGCATCTGGGATGACAGGTGCGCACCACCACATCCAGATGGTTTCATTTGTAGTGCAGGCTTTTAAAATTTTTTTTTAATTTATTCTTTTTAGTTATACATGGTAGTAGAGTGCACTTTGACATATCATACAAACATGGAGTAGAACTTCCCATTCTTGTGGTTGGACATGATGTGGGGTTTCCATATGAACCTGGAAAGTTCTGTCCCATTCATTCCACTGTCTTTCTTATTTCCATTCCCCTTTTCTTCATTCCCCTTTGTCTCATCCAGTGAACTTCTATTCTTCCCTCTCCCCCTTATTGTATGTTGGCATTCACGTATCAGAGAGAACATTCAGCCTTTTGGTTTTGGGAGGATTGATTTATTTCACTTAGCATGATAGTCTACAGCTCCATTCATTTACCAGAAAATGCTATGATTTCATTCTTCTTTATGGCTGAGTGATATTCCATTGTGTATATACCACATTTTCTTTATCCATTCATCTGTTGAAGGGCATCTAGGTTGGTTCCATAGCTTGGGTATTGGGAATTGATCTGCTATAAACATTGATGTGACTGTGTCACTGTAGTATGCCAATTTTAAGTTCTTTGGGTATATGCCAGGGAGTGTAATAACTGGGTAATTCCAATAATGTAAGCTTTTTAACCAAGATCAAGCCCAACTTGCTGGTAGGAGCTACCTAACATTGTGAGCCAAATCTATCCAGATGAAAAAGTTCCATAATCAACTCATAACATCTGCTGTGGGCGAGGAAGAGGTCCAGGTACCCTGTATTTGCTGGGTCTATGGTGTCAACAACGTCGACCCAGAGTCTGAAATCCAGGTGTTTCTTCACACCTTTCTTTCTGCTATTTTGATTGTTCTCACCTTTCTCCAGATGCTCTTCTGTTCCCTGTACCCTTCTTTCCCCTTCCCTTGGTCACAGCTAGTTCTAGTGGCCTTCTTCGCCTTCCCTTTCCCTGGGAGGATCACCCGGGCTGTGTGTCCGGGTCTGTTTTCCGTCTGCCTCCCGGGTTTTGATTTACTTAGAACCCTACATTTCTTTTCTTGGAGTCTTTTTTTCCCCTCCTCCTTTTCCTCCCTCTCCACCCACCTTCGCTTACAATCTCTTCCATCCCTAACCTCCAGCTCTCACCTGGGCTGCTTGATGTTGATTCTCCCAGAGTCTCCCTGGGAGGCTCTCTGTCCTTGGTGCTGATGACTCTACCTCATCTTTAATGATTGTAGGTAGCCCTTCTCCTGCCCCGTTCATCTTCTGAATCTCGGTTTTTACTGTTCTTACAGCTTTTCATGCCCGTGCTCTCTGTGTACATTCTAAACCAAAATTCCATCCAACCCTGCTTTGTCTATCCCGCATAAATTATTATCACTAAGTATGACTTGGTACCTGCAATCAGAACAATATTGTCTATTGCTAACAATATTGAGGAATGTGGTTTTGGTCTCTCTCTCTCTCTCTCTCTCTCTCTCTCTCTCAAGTATGGTCACAAATTCAGGAGTGCATTATATAACCCAGGTTGGCCAAGAGAATTCCCTTTAGAACTGTAATTACAGAGCCCTCAAGAAAAACAAGGGCAGAGTTGGTACCATGGTCAAGTGAATTGCAGAAATTCAAGACATTACATCTAAGTTATCCATAGTGTACGTTGGCATTTGAAAAGCTTTGAACGTTCCAACAGTAAATAACCCTGTTTAACTTTATGTAATGTTTAATGATTTCCCCCAGACTTCTTTGAACTAATACCTCTTCACATCCACTGGAAAACATTGGTCTTTGTTGTCAAATGTAATAATGGAGAATTCTGCGCTCTAACGTACCCTCCTTTTTTCCAATAACATTTCTTCCTTGGCCACCAGAGCCCTGCCCAGCATATACAGTAGATCAGTTGCATAATATAAGAATTCTGTGCCCGTGAGTTAAATATATTTAATAGTTAAAGAAACACTGTGACAGGGGTAGATGGGGCCATCTTTTATACTCAGCTAAATTACCACCCCTGCTCACCCTTCCTTTACCAATCCGCTACCTATGGGCTATTTTCAGCATGTCTCCTCTCCACTGTTTTACTCCCCTCCTGTTTTTTTTTTCCCCACAATGCCTTTATTTTATTTATTTATATTTATGTGGTGCTGAGGATCAAACCCAGTGCCTCACATGTACTAGGCTCTACCACTGACCAGCCCCTCTCCTGGGTTTTTTAATGGGAAGAGCCAAGAGAATATATGATCAAAAGT